TTTTCTTTACACTTTCCAGAATTAACAGATTTTGATAAAACTTGGTATGTATGTATATATATAATTTTGTAAAAGGTAGTGTTAGAGTGAGATGAGAATAGTATTCTCAAAAAAGCACTGGCTTGGGTCATGAAGTAGGAAACTATTATTGGGAAGCGAACAAATCTCAAATTGTACACCTATTTGTATAGCTATTGCTATTCTTGGTTGGGAAAGTGTGTGTGCGGATAAAATCCACAGTGTTCTGCTTGTGATGGAAGATATGAGGATAAGTATTAGTGGAGGTGTTTCTAGCTTTATCTGTAATTTATTGGTCTCTTAGGATGGTAACTAATTGATTTCTGAAAGAATACAAAGTACATTATAGATGACTTTTACTGGAGATTAGTACCGTCACTCAATTTATTTTAAACCAATGTTACCTTAACTCTAGGTTAATGGCATCATTTATTGACAAGCTCATCTTAATGTGCCTTTTTTATGCTTAAGTTCTGTTATAACTTTAGTTGATCAGAAGTATCTTATACAGGTACACATAACATAAAACAAATTTCAGACAACGTGGCAAATTGAATGTCCCTTGTGAAAATAAAAGCAGTACAAGTCTTTAGAAAATGTGTAAAAACAGTTGTGGCAAGTAAAGATAATTTTCAAAAAAATGTACCAGTAGAAGTGTTTGTATACATGAATGAATTGATATGGTGTCACAAAAGTTAATCAACATGCCACACTTTCAGAGCTCTGACCTCTTTTCCATAGAAATGTTCTTGTGTTCAGACCAAATCTTTCCATAATAAACTTAAACCATTTTTCAGTTTATATATTGAAATTTTATCAAAAGCAAGACTTCAAAGATTAAGCCAGTGGATATTTTTGTCATCCACAGCTCTTGAGTGCTACACCCTCTACCATTTCAAATTCAGATGAGTTCATATATGATACTCAAAGTAGGTTATTTAAGGTCTGGAAATTTTTGCTTCTGTGGAAACATTTTATGTTCATCTTCTTGTTTTGGACAAGATTTAACAGTAACCTCCTCCTGATTCATTGACTAAATATGAGCCTCCAGTGATCAGCTTTGGAGACAATCGATTCATATTGAATGTTCTAAAAATACATTAAGGTAATTGCTATACTTTATACTAGAAGAAATATAGGTAATTGTATTACTAAAGATCAGTAAAGGATTAGATAATTTCGTATATACTATTAACCCTAAACCTACTATTCTACATACTTCATCATTAATCTTTTAACTTGGACAGTAATCAACCGAAATGGCCCCATTTTACTTTGGCACGTTTTATCAGTCATCATGCTTGTCTAGAGTAGGAAGTAAAAAGATTTTATGTGGGTAATTGTGCGAGAGGTTAAAGATAATTCTCCCAGGAAAAGGTTATGAGTGAAAAGGGGATATTTTTATTGAAAGGAGTTAATAAAGTGAATCACTTCATCAAATTAGTGCTATTTTGGAAATGGATGGTGGAAGTAAATCAAATCTAAGAAAATAACGACCCAACATCTAGCTTTAAACCACTTCATTTACTGAGACAAGGTTTGGGTAAATAAGATTAGTCTCGAAGGTCAAATACAGATTGTATCTGGAGAACAATTTGACCAGGAATATTTGTTGTTTAAACCAGACTGGAGTTTTAGCTTGGATTAACTTGTCATGGATTTTAACATTATTCCAGCATCAGTGTTAGTTTTCTTCTATCTGGATTATATTTAGTTACTATCCATTAAGATTCCTCTTCATTAAAGAGTTATTTTCGTCCAATGAATGATCAGGCATGAGATTTTTTGGTTGAGTTATGATTGATTATGTTGTGAAGAATAATGAAATTTAAAAAGATTTTCTGAAGATGAGTTTGTGAAAATCACTGATGCTGAGAAGTAGCGAAAGATTATTTCTCATCTGAATTGTATATATCTTGCAGGTCACGTCAGAATTACTCTTCTGATATTTAATAACTCACATGGGAAAGTACAAAAAATACTAACATGCAAAGTATCTCAAGGTATTTTTTTTTTATAGAACATAGCATAATTGTGCTAAATGGAGTTAATTTTTAAGGAGCATCAGGCATTTTTATGAACAAATTTTTACAGATCTTGCTCAACTTCTTCAGCAACAGTTCATTTGGAGGATAATCAAACTAGAAAATTTTTGAAAAAGAAAGTGTTGTAATTAAAATTTGAAAGATTAGATTTTTTATATAAAGCTTGAGGACAAGAAGGTATTTGAAATTGATAGTAAATTGAATATTTCAGTGGATAAAGTACATGTTATCAGATGTTTTAAATACATGTAACTTGTTGGTAAAATCAACAGTTTGGTGTGAACAGCAGAGAAAAATCATAATCTCATCTCTATTCAACTGGAAAATAAACCTATTTAGCTAATGCCTGGCTTAATGTATATTATGGTTTGAATGGGTAGGAAAATGGAATGATGGAATAAGGTGACAAAACAAATGTTGATTTTTAGAATGGAAATGAAATTCTGATTATTTGAAATACTGGCTGTCTAGAAGCTTTATTAAGTAAAACTCGACGTGGCCGGTATATTTCAGTATATTTAATACAATTGCTGGTAGACAAAGTTTAATGGAACGATTATTCATTTGGTGGGATAATTTTAAACTTATGGAATGAGTTCTATAATCAATGTGTTAGTAATCTTTGAACCTTTATATGAAATCAGTGACAAGTTTCATCAAGGATTATTGATGTTTATAAGCCATTGTGGTATTTAGGATAACAGTGCAATGATGGAACTGCAAAGACTCAAGTTAAGTAAACATTTCAATGGTTGCAAAATTTATGAGAAATTGTTGAAGATGTTCAAATACTAATTCTAAGAGCTGGTGAAGTGGAAATGTTACTATGAAGTTCAAAATACAGTTTTTCATATTGTTGATTGATGGCAGGATTCTTCAAGAATGAAGTTATGGGAGGATCCCTTGGAAGGTGTAAAGTTCATCCATTACCCAATTATATTCTTTTGGTGTGTTTTATTCTTAATTCAAAATTGTTAGATCATACTGTAGAGATAGAACTCCTGTATTTCTGCATTTTTTACACTCTTAAACTGTCACAGATAATAAAGGTTCACTGTATATTTTAGATCTGTTACTGTTTGTGCTCTGGGTATGTGTTCATTTTAGATCTGTTACAATCTGTTTGTCTCTCTGGGAATCTGTTCATTTTAGATCTGCTACTACCAGTTTGTCTTTCTGGGAATCTGTTCATTTTAGATCTGTTTGTCTATCTGATTAGTTTAGATCTATTGCTTTATTTTTGTCTCTTGTTTTTTGTTCAGTTTAGATCTGTTACTATCTGTGTAAGATCTGTTACTATCTCTGTTTGTCTGTTTAGTTTAAATCTGTTTTACTCTCTGTTAGCATCATTGATTATCTGTTCGAGTTAGATTTGTACTATCTTATGGTCTTGTCAGTATGTGTGTATCTGTTTGTCTTTCTGGGTATCTGTTCAGTTTAGATTTGTTACTATCTGTTTCTCTCTTTAAATATCCATTCAGTTTGTTGACCTATATTGTATACTCTTTTCTAAACAGCTGATACACTACTGTACAAATTTTACTCTCGATTTAAGCAGACTTTTGAGTTTTAGAATTTTCTTCCTTGTATGGATTTCTATTAGATCTTTTTTTTTATCCTGTTGGTCTCTCTTATTTTCTATTTAGTTTAAATCTGTTAATCTTTGTTTCTCTGTTCAATTATGATTTGTTACTATCAGTTAATCTCTCTGTTTATCTGTTGTAAGATCTGTTACTTTGTGTTTGTCTCTGTGAGTATCTGTCCAGTTAAATTTGTAATTATCTGTTAGTCTTTGTAAGTGTCTGTTGATGTTGAGTTTTAATCTGTTACTATACATTTCTCTATGAGATTATCTGCTCAATTTATATCTGTTACAATCTGTTGGTTCCTTTTGTATCAGGATCTGAATATATATATGCTTGTAAAAATGTATTAATGATAAATAGGCCATCTTGTTAACCCTTCCTAGTGTCATAAGAATGAATTATCATTGACAAATTCCAAAATTGACCTCAATGCTTGCTTATTGCTATCGTGTCTCTAATTTTAATATTATTGAATTTGAAAATGCAGAATAGATTTTGATACAATACACATATTCTGGAGAAAATAAACTATTACTACAACAGAGGACTATTTAATTACTGTGTCTGTATAGGTCCGTAATAAAGATAGAGTTAAGTCCCTTGAAAGAGAATGATTAGATAATGTTAAACGTGAGTAAATCACAAGAGATTGAAGAAAGAGATTAATATAATTATTTCTAGACAATATTAGATACTATAGTAAATAGAAACATTACACAGTGTTTATATCAAATTAAACTCCTATCATAAAAACAAATACACTTAAAAAATACAACTTCTCTTGATTTCATTATGTATGTGTACATTACTATGGAAAATTGATAAGAACTCGAACAAACACCTAAAAAAAAACAACGTAAAATAAAGCCTACACTATAGAGTACAACTCGATTTGGTATTTATTGTGACTTTTAGCATCTGTAAAATAAATGAATTATAGCTTTATGTCTGGGTTACTTTTCTACACATTATAAGACAAGAATTATCAATTGTTCAAAGCATGATAAGAATTAGAAATACTTTGATAAGGATGACTGGAAATAAATTTCATAATTTTGTTGTATTGTTTTTTCAGCCTGAAGGGTCTGAAACAGCAGAATCAGAATATGTAAGTTTATTTTCTAGTTTATTTTTGTAGTTTATTTATAACATTTATAACATTTATAACATAATTATTTCATCTTGTTTAATAATTTTGCTGTGAAATCATTTATTTCAACAAATGGATCTGTCCTGATGGGCATGATTGTAGGATGTAAAATTCATGGATTCCATATTTTTTTTTTATCAAAAATTGGTACAACAATTTGATCTGTAAGTTGTTATATTATGATTTTTACAGACAAATGGTGAAGGAGAATGGGAACATGAAGAAATCATTCTTGAAAGGGTATGTAGTCTTTAATTGTATAAACTAATCCATAGTGTTACTGTTTGTTCTGTTATCAAGGTTTATATGACATTGGCAGTGTAAATATATTTCTGTATGAATATGTAAATATTATTATGTAGTATGGACAGCTTCAAATATTTTTCATGTGTAGTTAGTGCGAATTTTCAAACTATAATATGCTACTTAGGCGTCGTTTGCAGAACACTGTGGTATCCATGTTTTATTGCAATTAAGGTAGACTTTCAAGAAAGAGTGCACTGGCATGATGTAGGTGTATTGTAAATATCAGACATTTGGGTGATTTTGTGCCATGCATGTTTTTCATTGTTATGATCAATGTCCTCACAATATGTGGTAATCTTAACCAAGATAAGATTAAGAGTTTAGTAAATACAGTGATCTGATAAGGTTAAAAAATTAAATTTGATATCAATTTCATCTTAATAGATTGAATCAATATGTCACTCCCCATTGCAATATATTTTTCCTCCACTTAATAATAATTTACATTATCTGTAGGGTTCTACTGGTTTAGGATTTAGTATCGCTGGTGGCACTGATAACCCCCATATTGGTGATGATCCAGCTATATTTATCACTAAGATCATACCTGGTGGAGGTGCAGCTTTAGATGGTAGATTGAGGTAAGTGTTTGTGCTGGTACATGATTTTGATTCACCAACATTATAAGGTGGAATTCCATTGTTGTTATCCCAGTCCAGTTGTTCCGTTCCAAATTGTCAGTCTAATGTATGTTGGTATGCTTTTTGAAAAAGTTAAAATTGAAATTTGCTGCCATGTGAGCTTATAGTCTTTCTGGTTTCCACTCCCAAAACCTAATGTCTGGTGATAACCCTTCTTTATTATTTATATGAAATATTGGGGGAGAATATCATTGTCTGTACAAAAAAAGCGAAAGCTGCAATCCTTCTTATTAAAAAACTTTATCAATATCACCATTATATCTGGAGGCTGTATGTCTGTATTAATAACCTCCTTGTGTGTTATAGGTGAGTGTCTGTTTGCTTTCATCAGTAAACTTTGTATTACATAGTAGCATAAAAAAAAAATCACTTTCTAGAATAGGAATCCAATGTAATGACAGTAAACTAGTGATCAGAAAAATGGTTTTATGGATCAAAGGTTAGATGTCTTAGATTGACTCTACGTTCTTATGTATCAAGGTAGAATGAATAAGCCATCAAAGACAAAGACATTTGTGATAGCTAAGCACCAGCTGCATTGTTAAGAGAAAAAACCAAATTCTTCTTTATCACATCTTTTTATCACATCTTAAGAAAGACTGTTATGTTTCCAAAGATATTTCTATTAAGAAAATGGTAACTGAGACCCAGTAGACATTATATTGACACATGAGTAAATTTAATATGTTCTTGTTTATAACTTAGACTGTAGGTGAAGTGTAAAATGTTAGGGAAAGAAAACATTTAAAAACAAATTACTTTCACTGCTTCATTAGCTAGTATTTTCTGCCACAAGTAACTTTCTATATTAGTCAACTTGAATTGTAAAAAATTACCTAATAACAGAACTGCTGATTGTTTTTTATGTGTCTGGGGTGCTTCATAGGAGTTGAAAACTGAACAGCTCTGTTTTTAAGGCTTTTTAACAATTTTGAGCATTTGTAATACATGGTTACCTTCTACTACGGCCAAATGAAGATACAGTGAACTTGTGAAAAAGGGAAGCTTAAAACAGAAAAATGATATGTTGACATGAATATTGGGATAGATTGTAGTTTTTCATTTCACTTAATGTCTTGGTAAAATATAATAGGCTTCAATAAGTAGTTGTACATAGAAGAAATGAACTAAAAAATAACTTAAAAATCTTATGTTGATTGTTGATTTTTTGAACAATTTGAATTTGACAATATGTTGACAAACTGTTTCAGAGTTAAATCCCTTGACTCAGCTGGTTTGGGTTTGAGACCAGAGTATCTTTGATACAACATAATCTATTTATGGAGATTCAAGTATGACCAAATCAACAATCATGGTGAAATAAGAATTATTCTCAGACTCTACGTAATAGGCTAGATAATATTGATTTACCTAAGTATATTTATGTAGAGATGTAATTTTAATGTAGAAAGTTGATATTAACTAGCTGGCGAAATGATCAGAGATGATGAATCATTTATTACATACTTAATGGACACAAACATTATCCTTCCAATAATTCACAATCCTAGAATAAACATTCCAGTCTGATGAGATGAAATTTTCAAAATTACACTCAGAAATGTTCTGTGATTAGTGTTTCTATCTTTTCTTACTCAACACAACTGTTAAAATAGGGAGAATATTTAGTGTAACCACAACAATTAAGTTTAGTATTTGGTGTCAAGTGTTTCTATATAATGTGAATTATTTATGATGTATAATGGAAGAAGATAAATGGTATAGATTTTTCAAGTTATTTCTCTAGTTTCAGACCTCACATTCCTGTGAATTTTACTACCCACTTATTATAATTCCACACCTCTTTATGTGTATGTATATTGTTGGCATGCATGTTCATCTGTCCATTCACATTTCCTTGTGAATGCTCTAGAATCTACAATTTTGCACAGATTTCACAGAAGTCCTGTTGCAAAACTATAACATCAAGTTCAAATTTGAGCACATTTTCTAAATATTGTACTGACTGTATATTAAATAACCTCTGTGATGTTACATACTGAAAATATAATAGCTCCCTCAGTTTTCAGCCAATTTTCCCAAATGATATATGATATATTATATGTTTAAGTATACCTATGATTCAATAGTGATGCTGAATAGTGATATGCAATAGCCGCTTTAAGTTCTGTCTGATTTTCTGTATGTAATGCACATCAAAGTATCTTAACACTGTGTTCTTCATGTTGACCTGTTCTTTTTCTTACTACATAGTGTGGTCCACTAGATCATTAAGCAAAACTGAAGAGCAGCAGGATGTGAATCTCATTTCTAGAAGATATTTCTTATTTTCTCTCTTGATATTTAAGCACTGTCTATTGTACATCTGGTTAAATCCCGGTGATTATTATAGCTTATACTTATAATCTTACCTAGCTATTATCACACTAACATACTGTCACCATAGAACTGTATGCTGTCACATATATTCCACTATTTTATTATTCCCTTAAACAAAACATCAAGACAAAAATTGACCAAGTAGGCCTAATGGCTTTCATTTCACAACAACTAAAAACATTAAATTTATATGAAATTTCAACGGATTTGATTCAATTAGGCTGTATATGTGAGAAACAATTAACCTTATTCAGTTTTTGATCAATTAATGCCATTGTATCATTTTTCAATTGAGGCCTATCAGATTCTAGTAGGTTTTCAATTTTTGTTAGTCTGTCTGTCTGCAATTTCCTTAAACACTCTGGAAGGCACAATTCTTGATGGATTTTGACAAAACTTGATGAATGAATCTTATATAGAAGAAGAACAATCGAAAAATATTTGGTATGAGTTATTGCCCTTGTTCTTGAAAAGCTGTTCAATTTTTGGCTTGTAAATATTCTTGACGAAACTTGAAATTGATTTTTATTGTAGATGAATAAAAATACGCACAAGCATGACAGTTCAGTTATTCAAAATCTAGTCCAACATATTAGCAAACTCGTGAGTAAAAGTTGTGTAGTAGTGGAACCCAATTAAAAAATATTTTTCAAGTGTTATTGACCTTGTTCTTTAAAACACTTCAGCTCGTAAACACTAAAAGTCATATTGTTCAGTTTCGACCCAAAAAGGTTCAAAAGCAGTGCATGACTGAAGGTTTAATATTTCATACTGGTAATTGTTACTGTACTGCTAAATACTTTTATTCAAACCAAAGCTGCTAGTTGGTGATATTACCTTGCCTGGCAAGCTATCTTTATATCTGACAATAATCCTGTGATCTTTGAAGAAGAATACAATTTCTCTTTTGTCAAATTCCCCCCTGCATATGAGCAACCATGTTGTTTCTGGAGTTCAGGTGAGTCAAGTCTAGGAGCCTCTTAAAATTTGAAATTTTTTACTTTAAATTAGAAATTACATTAATGGTGTGCTAGACTGGAACCTTGAATAGGCTGTGCATGTTAAGGATCCCTCAACAGTTGGAAATTGAAAAAGAGATGGCTAATGCTGCTGTCCTGGCAAAATTTCCCACGTTGCACATTTCATGGTGTTGCCCATCTTCATAAGCCCAATAAGGTTCAGAATAGAATGTCATATATTTATATGAAAAGATATCAGATAACTTAATAAAAGTATGTTTTTAATGAGAAGATGAAGTGGTATTATGTGGGCTTGTCTATGTGGAACTGTACAATTCCTTTAAAAGGCTGAATGTGTCATTAAAGGGTAATATAACTGAATTATTAACTATCATATAGAGTTTAAAGAGACTTTGATGTTATTGACAAAAGGTGAACTGAAGCTTAAAAGTAAGGAATGGTTTTCATGATTCTAGCCTTATGAAATTATCTTTACTTCAAGGGATTGTTATTCCACTATCACCTTCTTTTGTCAAAGTTTTATGTCTGTTTCACAACAAATGAAATGTTTCCTTAGAGGATCTGATATATACAGCTACCCCTATGTTCACAATGAAAAAAAAAAAGTTGCAAAAAATAGATTTCATGCAGCCATTGCGGTAAGAAATTGCTCATGTTTTAGCCTTATAAACATTGTGGAAAATTACCACAAAACTATATTTTTTTTATCGGGCTAATTCATCAGGAATTGTGTAAATTGATAGTGCTGAAAACCTATCCATTACCAATATAGATGTTGCTTTTTCATGCAGTAACTATGTCATGTTTATACTATATAAGTTAAAATATTTAACCTATTGGAAAACCACTATGTAATCAATAAAAAATAAAACCTGATATAAAGTCAACAAGTCTTACATGAGTTTGAATTAAAGTAAAAAAACTAATTAATTTTGTCAAAGTATTAGACCATGGAAGTTACAAACAAAAATCTGTTGAAAACTAAAAATAGCCTCTGTTTTCTCTTAACTGGAAAACTAACACAAAAATATCAAAATTAGGATGCATAGATTTAAGCCTGTGGCTATCTTCATGGTCATTGCACAGTTTTTTTTTCTATCTTTCTCTTTGACTGTTAAATTAATAAAGAGTCACTACAGAGTTGAAAATTTGTTGATATTTTATGCAATTGTTGAATTGAAATCAAATTGCTTAGGGAAGCAAGGAAATCTTTGTAATGTTTAGTTCAAGATTGCGTTTTAGTATTGAAATTATATTTGAGGTGCCTGGAACAAGCAATCAAACACATCCTATCAAACAGATTCTTGTGAAAAATCACACTGTTTATAAAGAAATATCTGGTATTCATTTGAGACAACCTCTTTGTGTCTGACAGATCACATAAGATAAGTATAAATATGGAATCAGCAGTGTTATTCACTCTCCTCACATGAGGAAGATAAGGCCTATAAATAATATGGTGTAATTTTTTATTATCCAGTCCTTAACTGTTTAACATTATGGACCAGATTCTTGAAAAAGGTGAGTTGTCAATATCATTTGCAAACACAAATAATTATGGATACGTATGGTTAAGAAGCCTAAAATTTTAACACTTTTTTCTGATTTTCTTAGCTGAAC